AAGAGGTGGGTAGGGAAGCGTTCCCATGAATTACAACGGTATGTTTTAATTGTGGTGCAGTGACCAGTGGTATTTGGTGCCAGGCCAGCTCCCTGCTGGGTTGGTGGGAACTAGAGCACCAAGCTCCTTGCTCAGACACAGCCTAACACTAGCAACGGTACTGGAATGGTTTTTAAGATATGCAGGTGCCCAAAAAAATCAGCTCCCAGCCTGATCTCACAAGGTGCTGAGATGCTAGAGAGCACTCGCTGGTCCAAGGGGGATTTTTTAGCTCCTCCCAAACCACCGCTTGGTATCTCCGGGAAAGGTGCACTAAGCCCCGGGGCTGCTCGGGAAGGAGAGGGCAGCAGAGTCCAACCTGACAAGTTGTAACCTGCACAATTCCTTCTCAGCCACTTCCTGGCTCCTGACTGAACCAGGGCCTCCCATGCTGGCACACACCAGTTGCACACCTAGCGAAGTTATTTCGACATCCTTCACACTGTGCCTGGAGAAAACCGATACTCCAGGAAACTCTGCGGCTTGGAAAAACCCTCGGATGAGGCTGTTCTGTCCCCGGCCCTGCGGGTTATCTCCCGGACACAGCCAGCAGACACACAGTGCTGCTGACCCCCCCAGCCACCCCACTGCCACTCCCCCTCACCAGGGCTCTGTCCCTTGGACAGCCAGAGAAGGTTGGGAAGGTCCTGCCGGTAGGAAAAGCCACCTGGCCAGGGTAGGCAGGGGGTGCTGCCTCTCTCCCTCTGCTCAGGCACCCCGGGGAAGGTGCCTTCACACAGAGGGCAGATCTCTCTGATTGTAGCTCAGCTCGAGGCATCGAGACAGTGCTCTGACAGTCACCAAACCCTTCCGTTCCTCCCAGCCTGCCCCTCAGCCGGGGGTCAGCCCAGGCCCACCAGATCGCTTGCCCTAGGACAGAGTCCCCTCCTCGGGGGATGCACAGAGGAGCAGGCTGGAGCATCTCCCAGCGGGAGGACACCTGCTTTTCCCCTCGGTGTGAGCGGCTCAGCCCAGTTTGTCACAGTCTGCTGGCACAGCCAAAAAGCAAAGTAAAACACGGGAAAACATGAGGATGAGCTGTACGGGGCAGAGCACACTCCTGATGCCAAGTACTGCCCTCGGCGAGCCGCGTGTAGGAGGCACAGGTACAGGTACGTGTCAACGCCCCCAGCCCGCGATGGGCCCCGTCCCGCCCCCATGAGAGCCCCCGGGACACTCTCCGGTGCCAGCCCGGGTGCCAGCCCGGGAGCCCCGCAGAGTGGCAGTGCCCCCACCGCCCCCGTGCCGGCTGACGAGCCCCGCCGCGGAATGAGGAGCAGCCGCGCGTGGGCGGCGGTGAGTCACGGCGGGAGGGCAGCGCGGGTCCCCGGGCACGGCCCCCCCGAGGGGCTCTGCCTCCACCGACCACCGAGCTGGGACCCGGCACCCCTGGGACCCCGACAGCCTCTGGCACAAGCGCCGCTGCTCTGTGCTGGTGCCCCATGCGCTGGCCCGACTCGGGGCTGCTCCCGCGGGCACTCGGTACCCGGGAACTCCCTCCTCGCAGCGCCCTCCGAAGCAGAGCCGGAGCTGCCGCCGGGGCACCCGCGGGGCTGAGCCGAGCCCGAGCACGGCCTGGCGCCTCCGAGCCCCCCTGCTCAGCCCGCCCGAGGACCCCATCCCCATCGCGGCACACCCGTCCTGAGACCCCATCCCGCCCCGGGACCCCTCATCCCGTCCCTACCTCTCGGCAGCTCGCTGAAGTCGTCCCCCGAGGCCGCTCCGCCGCCCTCCTTCTCCGGGCTGCCGCCGAGCAGCGGGGCCGTGGCCGGGACCGGCGCTCCCCCTCCGCCGCCGCCCTTGTGCAGCACCTCGTTGTGCAGCTCGTCCCGGCGCAGCCCGCCCGCCGCCGCCGAGCACACTGCGGGGACAGCGGTCAGATGGGACAGCTCACTCACACCGCCCTGCCCGGGACACCCCCTCCTCCCCACGCGCGACCGGGACCCATCTTCCCGTCTGCTCACACCCGGGGACCCTCCACCCGGGACCGCGTTGCCCAGGACCATTCCCCGACACGTGTCCGGGACCCTGCAGGGGAGCCCGGCGCTGGGATCCTTTGCCGTCCCCACGCGTGTCCGTACCTGCCGCCAGCAGCGCGTGGATCAGCACCGCCCGCCCGTCCATGACCCGCGGGCACACGCGTCCAGCCCCTGTCCCGCTCCGCTCGGCCCCGCTCCGGTGCCCGCTCTCCGGCAGCGCGGCCCCGCGCCGGGTAGAAGGCGGCGGGCGGCGGGGCGGGGCGGGGAGGGGCTGCCCGGCCGCTCCGCCCCCGGGAAGGGCTTCCCCACCGCCCCCAAGGGGGGTTCCGCCGGCCGGGAACAGGGCCAGGGCTCGGTGGGGTGTTCTCGCTCCCGGAGAGGACAGGACCTGACCAGCCACCGCCGCCCCGCTGCTGGTGGGCGGTGGGAGCCTGGGAGTCGCAGGGTCCCTGCAGGGCGCAGAGGGCAGGCGATGGACGAGGGACACAGCCTTTCCAGCCTTTTCCTGGGACTGGGAAGCGTGGCCTCAGGCAGGGGCAGAGGAGGGGGGTCCCGGTGCGCCCCCTGGTCCCAAGCGCTGGCTGACGGGACGGGTGCCTGGGGTGGGCCGGGGGTGCCAGGGGAGCGAGTGCACCTCGCAGGAGGAGCATCAGGTGAGAGGCAGGACCTCAGGGTGCAGGGCTGCACCTCCTCCTGGCCCTGATAGGAAACAGACTGCCATCCGTGCGCCATCCTGCACATGGGAGGTGGTGGCAGCCAGAGCTGGTAGCAGAGACCCTCTCTGTCCCCAAGGCCACCTTTGTGCCCTTAAAGAGCTCCTGTGACTGATAGCATCACAGCCTCATCTCACAATCCCCCCTCAGCCAGCCACTGTCCTTATCCTCATCCCAGCCCTCTGTGCATGGGCACTGCCAGCACTTCCCTGTCCCCTTCACTGGGCTTGCAACCATGTGTTGTGTTTGGCCCAACCCTCAGCCCAGGTGACAGCCCAAAAAACACCACTGACACCAGCGCTGGGCAAATGCAGGGCCCTGCCCTGGCTCCTGTTGAGGCCAGCCATGGCCCCTGGCTGGTTCCTCGAGGTCCCAAGCCCCCAGCCCATGGCTGGTTTGGGCTCAGCAAGGCATGAGCAAAATATTCCTGCCATTGTTGTTGGTGTCTCCAAGGAATACCGCCGGATCTGGCACCCCCCGCTCACGCCCTCCTCTTCTTGCTCAGACTTGACTTTTGCAATTGTTTGCGGGATGTTTTTCCTTCCGCCTCCTCCGGCCATCAGCAGCCCAAAGCCTTTGGCAGCAGAGCGAGGGGGTGGCCCGGGTGAGGGGCTGTGTCCCTGGGCAGCCCTGTACCCTGGAGCCCGGTCCCTGAATGGAGATGGGATTTTTGCCCTTGCCAGTCCCCTGTCACATCCCAGGGCCAGGCCAGGCGTGCACGGGTGGCGTGTGCCAGCAGCATTTGCCAGCTGACCTGGCATCTCCGGAGAGGGAGGCACCGGCTCACGTCAGCAGCCAGGGAGGCTGTTGGCACAGAGGGTTGGCAGCGGGCACGGGTGGGGAGTGTGTGCAGGCTGCCAATCCTGCCTGCCTTCTGCTTCTGCCTCCCAGAGCCTCCCATGACCCCTGCCCACCTCCTGCAGCCCCTCACAGCCTCCCTGCCTGCACCTGCCGCCAGTCATGCCCAAT